TTTGGCCGAGGGCATGGCGGGCGCGGCAGCGGCTGAGGCCGCGGGCTGCGAGGCGAGCGAGTGGGGTGCGCGGCCGGGGAAACTTCCTCGGGCTCCCCCGGGGCTGGGCGAGCAGCACGCGGGCGCTGTTGGCGTCGGAGCGGCCGAGAGAGAGAGAGCGAGAGCGGGCGGGCGGGCAAGGAAGGAGGCCGGGCGAGGGAGGAAGGAGGAGGGGGCCTGCCTCCGCCGCCGCCGCCGCCGCGGCCGCCGGGTGCAGCTGCAAGGCCGCTGGGCAGGGCGCGGGGGTCGTTGGCCGGCCTTGGTCAGCAGCCGCCGCCGCAGGAGCCGCGCTCCGGGGAGGGGGGCTCGCTTCTCGGCGGGGCGCGCTCCGTGGCCGCCCCCCTCAGGGGGGGTCGTGGCCGCCCCCCAGCCCCGGTGCGAGCGGCTCGCTCCAGCGGGGCTCTCCGGGAGGGGCGCGGGCCTGCGCCGGGGCTCTTCGGGCCGGGCGCACCGACCGGCGCTCCTCCTCCTCCGGTCCTCGGGCGAGCGCGGACTCTGCCCGGGGCGCAGGGCCCGGTCCACCTGCTAAGTGGCGACTTCACGGGAGGCAACAAAGAAAAGAAGCCGCTCCTTTCTGCTGGGCCACAGCACGGACGATCGGCCGCTCCTCGCCGCCTCCTCGGGAACGCCCTTCGCTCGTCTCCCCTTGGAGGAGGAAAACTTTTTTTGTCCTTGAAGGCGTGGTGGTGCTGGCCGCTCGCGTGCCGAGCGGAGACGCGGGCTCCCGCTCTCCCCCTCCGGTCCTCTCGGCTCGACTTTGCTCTGTCCTAGGAAAACTTCTCGCGCTGGTGCATTGCTCTGAAGTTGCTATTGCCGGAGCTCTCGGTTGCCTCTGAAACAAGAGTCCTCTTTCATTCTCCTCACGACAGTCACAGTCTGATGGGACATCTTTCCTTTTGGGCAGAGAGTAGGAGGCAAATATAACAAGGAAAAGGCTGCACAGGCGAAAACACGAGGTCGCGTTTCTCTGTTACCTTGCTGCTGACGGTTGGGGTTGGTGTTTTATTTTTTTCCCAGCAGAGGTCTGGAGGAGGATGAGGAGGAAGAAGAAGAAGAGTGCATTGGTGGAGGTGGAGGTGTGTGTGTGCATATAGGGGATCCTTGATACACAACCAACTCCAGTGGGCACGACGCACGGCGCGGAGGCTGCACCGACGGCGCGCGCGCTGGCCGTGCCGGAGCGGAGTTGCCGGGGGAGCTCGCCGTGCGCCCCGGTTCGCGCGCTCTCCCTCGCTCCTTCCCTCTCCCTCCCTCTCTCTCTCTCTCTCTCTCCCTCTCTCGCCCGCCGGCTCGGCTCCGATCTGACAGTCCTCTCTCTGTCCCTCCCTCTCCGAGTGGGGACTGTCGAATGTTTACCCTCCGCCGCGAGCGCGCACCCACCACCACACTTTCCCAAACACAAGGAAGTCGAGCACCGGGGCCCCCGCTGATTGGCTACCCGCTGGGTGACTGGCAGCCCCGGAATGACTGGCTCAGGACGCGCGGCCCCCCTTCCGGCGGTTCCGATTGGTTGCTTTTTAATTTAGGCAGAGCGTCGTAGAAGCTGGAAATCTGTCGTTCCCCCTCCCTCACCCTCCCCAAGCCACCTCCCTCCCGCTCGCCACTTTCTCCTCCCGGCCCCTCCCCCGCCGCCCCCTCCGCCACATCTTAACTCTTAGTGTCCGGCCGAGACGTTGGCCGTCCCTCCCGGGCTCTGGGCAGCGCGATAGGTCTGGGAAGGCGAGGGGGAGAAGAAAAGGGAGAGACGGCGGGGGTGAGGTAGGGGGGCCAGGCAGGGGAGGGAGGGAGTCACAAGGAGATCCTAGAGGGAAAAATCGCGAAAAATAGCAACCTCCACCGTCCACCTGGTACTGCGTTGTGCCGCCCTCCCCTTCCCCCACCGCATCCCGGAGATTCTTACCGCGCGCGGCAAGGACGCGCCATTCACGCTAATACCTATAGGCAGCCGTGTCCCCAGCGGTTTCAAAGTTCCCTTCTCCCTCCACTGGCCGTCTCCCGTCCCTACCGAGGCGGGGGTGGGAAGAGGGAGCTCGCGGCGCCGAAAGCCCGGGTCGCAGCCACGCTCCTTGGAAATCAGCCACCGCGACTTTCCGCAGCCGCTTCGCGCCGGCGGCGGCGGCCCTCTTTGTTTAAGGTCTCGGATGCCATCGCCTGGGAGACCGGCAGCCCGGGACCGGCGCGGGGCCCGCGCGTGCGAGACGGACCGCAGCCCGCCGCGCGCTCCCCACCCCCGCCTCTCCTCCCCCGCCCCTCCGCCGGGATTCCTGCGAGGAGCGCGCGTGCCCTTGCGAGTCGGGGGTGCCCACGGGCGGCGGAGAGATCGGCCGACCTTCCCCCCTAGACACACCGTAAGTGTGTCCCCCCACCCGCCCCGAGGCGTCGGGAAGCCTGCCGCAGCGGGAGCGGCCTAGGGAAGCGGGCCGCCAGCCGCGCCCTCCACCGCTCACATCGGGCGCGGGTGCGGGTGTGCGTTTCTTTATTTCGGTGCGGTGGCTTTTAGTGGTATTTCGCCTGGGCTCACTATTCTTAGGCACGGTGGGGGCTTTCTCTGTTTCTCCGGCCTCGGATGGTCTGCTGCGCGGCTGGGGCTGGCGGCGGGGAGCGCGATCGCAGTCTAGCCCGGCGGAAAGAGTTAAGGGGGCCGGGAGGGGGGGAGCGCGCGGGGTGGGCGGGAGGAGCGGGGGTGGGGGACGCGGCCGAGCGGAAACGCTGCACAGAGGAGCCTCAGCGAACCAAGAAAAAAGAGAAAGTGGCAACGAAAACAAGGGCAAATTGAACCCTCCTCGGGGATTTCCAGTGAACTAACCCGACTCGGACATTCAATAAATACATCGCCCCTAATGAGTGTGCGTGCGCGTGCACCCCGCACCCGGGCGCCCTGGGCGCAGACGTTGAGCTGCTGGGGTGCTGGGGGCTGCCCTTCTCCGGCGAATAATTCCTCTGCCGCGCGCAGTCAGTTGCGGGGGGGTGGTGCTCGGTTAGGTCTGGAGCTCCCCAGCTTAGCCGCAGCCTTGAAGCCCTTGCGAGGTCTCGTGATGAATGGTGGGCGCGGAGCACTTGTGTGTGATGTGGTCCCTCTCCTGCGTGCAGGGGGAGAGATGCCCTCCTAGGTGGGTTTTAGGGGATCCATTATTGCAAGGTATAGATCTGAAGGGCAGCGGTAACCAAACCCCAGACAGAACGGATTTTTACCTCTGCGTGCCCTTAAGGTTCCTTTCCTCTTTATGTATGCGTGTATGTATATATGGAAGATGGAACACAGATTTCATTCAATAAATCTGAGATCTCCAGGTGCAGGCGTTTGAATAGTCGGTGCCAGCACCCCGTGTTTTCCTTTCCTGCCGATTTTGCTTGGATCCGACTCAAAATCCGAGAGAGTCTCGTGGTTTTGTTTACACTGAATGGGGAGGGTAGGAACACAGCCACGGGGCCCCTTTCATTAATATACAGTGAGGATTTTGTCTAAATTACCGCTATGAATTTCACAGTACACGCTTTCAAAAGCAGTCTCAGGTGGCCTGATGAAACGGGAGAGCGCCTCCGCAAACACATCCACTTCTTTCTTTTCAAGGAGGGTGTGTGCGCGTACGGGAAGCCCCCCAAAACGCCGTGCTCCTCGAAATCAGAAATGCACTTCTGTTGCGAGCTGGGTCCCCTCGGTCCTCCGCCTCCGCGTACTTAGTTCTCCAGTCGCTCCCCAGCCCCACCCATCCGCCCCCTCCCTCTGCCGAGTGTGATTGTTTTGTCTGGAAAAAAAAAAAAAATCCAAAGTATATAACAAGGGGAGAACAGTTAGTGCTGACTTTCATTTGCATACATTTTCATATATTTTGGTGAAAATAATAGACGAGTGGAGAGCCGGGCTTAGAGGAGTCAGAGGAAAGAGAAGACTGAGGAGGTACCGCTTCTGGGGAGTTGAGAATATGTCTTTTTGCCCCACCAGTCACTTTATTTATTTTTTAAAAAATAAAACTTCTTCCTTTATTTTAAAATGTAATCCTGGAAGTTTGCTCGGTAAGTGTTTTTCATTTTCTTTCCCTGCGTTCTCGTTTCTGCCCCTCCTTTTCGTTTTCGGTAGGCTCTCGTAGGCTTGGGGGCTTATTTTCAGGGCTTGGGACGAGAGAGGGCTCACGGGCAGCTGTTTTGAAGGAAGGAAGAGAAACAGTGTTGGGGGGAGAGTTAAAAAACCCAGCCCTCCGAAAATATTACATAAAAGGTGGACTCCTTCCAGGGATCGCCACACCAAGGCACTTTACTTTTTTTTTCCTGGGGAGGAGGAGGAGAGTGCTATTAATTTTAATTGTTGATTGTTAGGGAAATAGGAAGGCCCCAGAAAAGAAGTGATGATGAAGCACGCAGTAGTATACATATTTCTTGCTTTTGAATTTCTCCCCCCCCCCCAGGAGAATCTGGACTAGAGGGGAAGAAGCCCCCTTTCTGTAGCTGATGCTGATGTGTTGAACTACATGTGCCTGCCTGGGATTGGGGTGGGGGACTCCTGCTGGGAGAAGAGGGGTGGAGTGAGGGGGGGGGGCTTGGCAAAGGGAGGGCAGAGAGGTGGAGAAGAAGGAGCAGGGGAGGAAGAAGAGGCAGGAAGTCGGTGCCCCCTTGGTTTTCGCCGCGTCTGGCAAGCAGGCGGCAAACTGCAGCCTTTCCACTCGGTAGTGAAAGTCCATCAGAAAGAGGGTGATCAATCAAAACTAACCAGGACACCCTACACTTTATTCCCAAAGGAGGCTGGAGCTTTAGTGGTTTACTGTGTTTGCTATTCTTGACAGCTGCCCTTGCTTCCCCCTCACCCCACCCCCTTGCCTCTGGTCCCTGGCTTTTAGTAAAAATGAAGGGTACAGTTACTTGCTAGTTGCAGATAATTAGAGAAAATTGGATGGTGGAATTAGCTAGGCCA